TACACTGTACATTGTTATCTTCTTAGTGGTTATCCATAGTACAAGAAGCAGACAGGATATTCTGTCCAAACACTTCCTGCACTCTTTGCATATGATTCTTTGAGTGATTCATTATAAAATACTCTTACATAATGTGTCCTGTATTGTATTGTTCCCCTTGCATAAACCCCCAACTACAATATACCGTATTTCAGATATCTGCTTCTTCTCCTCCTCTATCCCCTCCTCTATCCTGTTTTTTCTTCAGCTTTACCTGACAACTTTATGGTCAGCTTCTCCTAATGTCAGTAGGTGCTGAAGGAGAAAAGGGCAACTCTTATTTTATTTTATTTTATTTTATTTATTTTATTTTATTTTATTTTGGTGGTACCAGGGATTGAACTCAGGACCTTGTGCTTGCCTCTTGTTCTCACATTGTATCCCAGCACCTAGGGGAACTGAGGAGGCATAGAGCAGCAACTCCATAAAGGTGTTTTGAGGGAACCGAAATAGTGCTTTAGAGAGAAAAGTTGGAACAAGAAGGTCTTAAACATGACCCAGGCATGTCAGAATTGGGGTGCTATTAGGTTAAAGAAAGAAGGGCAGGATAGAGATGCTGGAGAAGAAGCTCTTTGGTGTCACAGTTTGACCCACTCCATTTTCCCATGATCTTTTGACATATGGCCTTGTGTGTGATATAGTCAACCACTCTGGACCTAAATTACCTTATTTATAAAATGGGGATAATATTGACTTGACCATGAAGATTAATTGAGGTCACGGATATGAAAGCATAGGACATTCCATCTGGTTCACAACACATTCTTTTTTTTTTTTTAATTTTATTTATTTATTTATTTGTGTGTGTGTGTGTGTGTGTGTGTGGCCAGCTCAGCCCACCAGGGGGCGGGGCTGGCTGGCTTGTGGTGCTGGGGGATCGAACCGCAGTCCCTGTGCATTGCTAAGCTTGTTCTAAGTAGGTGCTTTAGACCACTGAGCCATCTCACCAGTCCCACAACACATTCTTAATACATATGCTGTAATATTGACCTGAGGTGGATCCTTATCCCAGTAAGTAGGACATGGTTGTTTGGGAGAACTTAGATCCAGATATGGCTTTGAATAACTGAATCATAGTGAGAAACTTCCTCTCTTCCTAGTTTTTTTCTAAGCTTTCAGATTAGGTTGAAGAGAAAGACTTAATTTCTGGGCTTCTGTTCCTAAACCCTCTCGTTTTTATGAAGAAGGCATAGAAGCTGTAGCCAGGTATAACACAGCGTCATTGTTTGCACCTGTTTTTCTGGCACTTTCTATCTATGGACAAGTGATCCTGACTTCCTACTTACACTAGCAATAAAATGTATTCTCTTAAAATAGACTTAAGTTGGTACGTAGGCTAGTCTAAAGAGAAATATTAGTGACGCAGGGGGAGGGCAGATATACAATACCATGAGGACCGACTTGGAGGAGGGGGATCTGGGAAGGAGTCTTTGCTCCTCGAGTGCTCTGCCCTGGAGGGCAAGCTCCTGGTCTGGGGTCTCCAGCACTAGGGCCCTAGATTTACTCCCGTGCTCTCCCTCCTCACACAGAGCTTCAGAGCAAAACCCAAATTAGCTTCTTGAGGAGAGAAGTTAAAGGGCTTTGACAAGCATGGGCTGCTATGAGACACAAGAGTGACCAAAAAATAAAAAAATAAAATAAAAAAAGTCTTGATAAGCTGGAGCCGCAGTCCTTCTTATTTTTAATTATTGCCAACATCATTATCATCATTAATCAGCGATGGAACAACGTGGAGGTGGAAGCTGAGGACAGTCAGGAATGGTGTTTACATGCTTAAGGGTTGGATGCTACAAGTTTGGGTGCAGGTATTGGGGTGGAGAGAGAGGGAGAGACTGATTGAAAGACGTTGAGAAAGATAGATGGAAACCAGCCCCTCCTAACCAAAAGATGAATCCCAGTGATTCAAGGGAGTGCCAAGTGGGAGGAACCGGTGCTTCTGAGAAGCAAGAAGCAGTTACACTTGCTAGGCAGGGATCAGACCTAGGGAGGGTGCCCAAGTCCCTTCCAGAGCAGGGACTGGGGCAAGGACCATGGTGATGACTGATGGCTCCCAACCTTGAGCTGACTCCTTCTCCCTTGCCAGGGCTTCTTGGCCCCTGGTGAAGTGGGGGGGAGGGGGAGGGGGGTGTGATGAGGGCCCGCAGTCTCTCCCCTCATGAGTGCCATGAGCTCACACGGGCATCCCTGCCCCTCCAGGGCCAGGTAAACAGGATGCAGTCTAGGTCAGTGCCCTCCCTGGTCTCTCCCTCCCACTCTTCCCTGGGGGTAGCTGGCCCGCCCAGCTTCCTGCTCGGTGCTAAGTGAAACACACTGAAGGCCACTATCAGGGCCTTGTCATTCTTTCCCCAATGTCTGGGGCCCTTATAGGGGGGCTTTGCCCAGAGCCCCAGGACTTGAAATGCAGCCCCACAGCCTCCAGTATCTCTCTGTGGGTTGGAAGGTGTGAGGGCAGTCACCTTTAGGTGACAGTGTGGGAAGCAGAGAGATGAGAGCTATGAGGCTGGCTGGAACTGAGAAAAGCCGCAAGAGGGCACCTGCTTCCCACCCTGTGCCCCCAGCTCAGGTTGGCTTACACTGAGGCCGAGGCCCGGGCCAGTCCAGCGGGCACTCCTCTCCTTTCTGCACTGCTAGGGGCCTGCCTGGAATGCCTCTTTTCTAAGTCCTCTTGCCCCGCTGCCTCCAGGAGACACCAACATCTATCTCCTCATCTGCCCCATCTCCACCCTGCGCCCCAAATTCCTGGGGTTGGGCAACTACAACACTTTTGTGTCCGTCTCATCCCAGGTCTCCCTCCCTCTGTGATGCGTGGCTCCTTCTCTGTTTCGACACAGGTTCACAATTACAGCTCATTACCCTATCGTAGCTGGGCCCTGAGTCACTGGGGGAGGGACCCTGGGCTGCCCAGCCCTGTCGTCACCTTCTCTCAACCTACAGTATAAGGAGTAGCGACAGGAAGGAGGACTCTGGGAAAGGCAGGGGCATCTGGGGAAGGAAGGGAACGGGGCTCTAGACTAAGAAGGCAGAGGGAGTAGTCAGGAGGGCTCGCAGGGCAGAGGAAGAGAAAAGGTCCCAAGAAGCAGAAGGAAGTGAGAAGAGGACACTCCAGAGAGAGGGAGCTGGGCAGAGATGAAGCTGCGGGTGTCTCTGACCAGCCTCCTGCTGGCCCTGTGCCTGAGCAGTGGGGCAGCTGGTCCACTGCAGGGCTCTGGGACAGGAGCCGGAGATGCTGTGGGTAGTGGATTTGGAAACGCCATCGGTGAAGGAGCTAAAGAGGCAGTCAGCTCTGGAATCCAGGATGCCATTGGCAAAGGAGACAAAGGAGAGGGCAGCTCTGCGTTCAGGGAGGCCAGAGGAGATGCATTCGGCAGACAGGTCGAGGACCTCTCTGGACAGGGAATGGATGCTACCCGCAACCCCGCTTCCTGGGTGAGTGCTAAGAAGCCTGGTGTGGAGATGGGAGGCTACGGGGCAGCCCAGTCATAAGCCACGGCAGTCAGACTAAGTGCAGATGTGTTGTCCTTGCAGGGGACATCTGGAGGACATGGCACATTTGATTCTCATGGTAGCTATGGAGGCCAGGGCCAGGGCAATTTCGGAGGGCCATGGTCTCCCTCAGGCCATGGGAACCCCGGAGGCTCAGAAGGCAGCTTTGGAACCAACTCCCTGGGAGGTTCCTTGGGGCAGGGAGGCAATGGAGGGTACCCCAACCTTGAGGCCAATGCTCAGGTAAAGTAGGCACCGCGCCCCATACCCGCCCTCGCCCGCTCGTCACGCAGCCCTCTCCACACCTCCCTGGTCCTTCCACATCCTGCCCTGAGTCTTACTCTCCCTGCAGGGGTTTGTGGCCCAGCCTGGCTATGGTTCAGTGAGAGGTGGCAGCCAAAATTCAGGGGTAAGAGCCAGAGTCGTTGTCTGAATGCATATGACAGGAAGTAGGGGAGAGACAACAGGGAAAGAGGGAGAAGAAGGATTGGGCTAAGAGGAAGAGGAGGCTGGGAAGAGATGGGTGTGGAGGGAAGCTAGGAAAAGAGAGGGGAGGAGGGGAAAGGAAGGGGACAGTCTTGTAGCCACGGCTTTGACAGGAACCTCTAAACCCACTGGTGCCCTTCTCTCCGCAGTGCACCAATGCCCCACCTACTGGCTCCGATGGAAGCTCTGGTGGCTCCCAGGTAAGAGTGGAGAATGGAACACTGAGGCTGGGCAGAGACTATGCCCTAGCAGGAGAGCTAGGGGAGGAGAGGCACAATCGTGCTTCCACATCCTCATCGGCACTTTGTTCTGCTCCTCAGGGAAGCAGCAGCCACAGTGGTGGCAGTGGCAGCAGTGGTGGCCATGGTGGCAGCAGTGGCCATGGTGGCAGCGGTAGCGGCCATGGTGGCAGCGGTAGTGGCCATGATGGCAGCGGTAGTGGCCATGGTGGCAGCGGTAGTGGCCATGATGGCAGCGGTAGTGGCCATGGTGGCAGCGGTAGTGGCCATGGTGGCAGCAGTTCTGGATCCAGCCATGTAAGTTCTTCTCCTCGGGTGATGGCGGGGTGGGGGAGGGTCCTGGTGGTCCCTGCATAGCAGAACATTTCCTGAAAGCTGCTGCAGGCTTGGGGTAGGAGATAGGGCTGGGGTTGCCAACCCCGGGCTGTCCCTGTCTCCACTGCCCAGCCCCAGCCCAGGCTGCTTATGGAAGCATGTCAGGTTTCCACAAGCGCTTGTCCTGCCTCCCTCTGCCTACTCCGCTCCCTAACCTTCCACTCCATCATGGTGGGGAAATCCTGCCTCTTTCCAACATCTCTGCCTTGCCCACCTGGAAGATCCTGGTAGAACTGGGAGTGATGGAGAGAAGAAGGGGGGTGGGCACAGAAAAATAACACCTTCATTTGGGAAGCTCCTGGGAGAACAAGGTTAGGGTTGCACACACAGAAATGAGAGGACATTCTCTTTAAAATAAATTAAAACAAAAAAAGACAAGGTGGGAAAAAAAAGAAACTAGAGGACATTAACAGGTGCAGTGCAGATGACACTAATGACTACAGGGCACTCACAAGGATCCTGCCTTATGGAGAGGGGGAAGCTACTTTAGAAGAGAGCTCCAAGAGAGGGGTGCTAGGGACAGGCTGTCCCACAGACTCCTTGGGACCTGGGGGTGTTGTCTGACCAGAGGAGGTAAGTGATCATGACAAATCCAAAGAACGAGATTCCTTAGTTTGCTGCTCCTCATACAACCCTCTTACCCCCATCTAGGGCATAGAAACTTCTAGGGATTTTGATCAAAGCTTTTCAGTCTCCAAGGTAAGAAGGCCTCTGAGAGTCCCTTCTGCTCACTGTGGTCTAGCAGAGGATCCCTTGGAAAGTCCTTTGAAGATGACAGACAAACTCTCCCTTTCTTTTTCTCAAAGGGAACCGGTTCTGATACAGGCAGCAGAGATACAAGTGGTGGTGGAAACAAGCCTGAGGTCAGTGACTGGGGACCCCCCCCCAGGGGCCCAGGTCTCCTTCCAGGTGTAGGAAGCAAATGCAGAGGGTTCAGCCCTTGAGGCTGGGCCAGGGACTCCCTGAGAAGGGGAGGGCTTCTGCCATGGAGCAGCTGGTCCTTTGGGGGCTGGGGCTGGTGTTCAGGAGGTGACTGAGTGTGTCTTCCGTACCTCTTTCCCACAGTGTGAAAACACAAGGAATGAAGCCCGCATCACTGGAGGATCTAGGAGCGAGGTGAGAACCAAACTGCCTTATTTCTGACTGTGACTGTGCCCATTCCTCTTAGTGCCCTCTGCTCACCCCTTTCCTGATCATCGGTTCCATCTGACTCACAGGGTAGGGGCGGATCTGACAGTGTAAGAGGGAAGAAATCACAGGCATCTTCCTAAAAGTAGCCTCTGGAGTAGTAGTGGATTGGAAATCTGTGTGAGATGGCTCCCTGGGTACTGCAGGAAGGATTCTACATAAGCCAGTGCTTTTAGAAATCTAGTCATTTCTGGTGTCCCATCCCAGACTATGCACATAGCTCACGACTCTGGCAGAGAAGTGTTTTGGAAGGTCTGGTCTACTTCCTCCCACTTACTGGGGAATTCTGGGCATTAGGTGTCTGTCCTTGTGGTGCTGACAGAGCAAGGGTGACACTCCTGTCCACACCTAGCACTCTTGTGCAAAGGCAAGTTCTGATTCAGCTGGTCCAGGGTGGGGCTCTGATGCTGCATTTCTCACCAGCAGCCGGGGAGGCTGTAGCTGCCAGGCTGGGCACTGGTGACCACCAGAACGTTAAGCAACGTTCTCCCAGCTTGTATCTAGTTTGTCCAAGCGACCTAGCTCCATGCCTGTAATCCTAGCACTCAGAAGGCTGGGGGAAGAGGCCAGCCTGGGCTACATAGTGAGACCCCCATCTCAAAAAATAAACAAACAATTGCACCCCCTAAAAAATTATCAGACTTTTCTCGCTGTGGTTTCTGCTCTTGATGTATTGCTGTAAATGTCTTTATGGTCTTCAGGTATTGGAAATATTTATATAATTTCATTTTTGAAAACAGAACTCTTTAATCCACCTGGATTTTGTTTTGCTATGTTTGGTCTATTTCTGCCTCCCAATCTAGGCACTATCATCCAGCACTGTGGATCAGAGTTGGGTGCTCCTTTATTTTGGGAAAATCAGTTAAAAGCCAGAAAGATAGCTCAGTGGGTTAAGCGCCTGTCTGGTACATGCAAGGTCCTGAGTTCAATCCTCAGTATAAAAAAAACAAAACACAAACAGTTAAAAGAAGAGGGAGAAAACTGACAAAGTGTACCACTAGTATTTTCCCAAAAATACATATCTACGTATTCAGTCCTGGGTATTGAATCATTTCTACCACTGACTTAAAATGCCACCTGTAAATACCTTTTTTTTATTTTTTAATTTTATTTATTTATTTATTTGTGTGTGTGTGTGTGTGTGTGTGTGGCCAGCTCAGCCCACCAGGGGGCGGGGCTGGCTGGCATGTGGTGCTGGGGGATTGAACCGCGGTCCCTGTGCTTTGCTAAGCCTGTTCCAAGTAGGTGCTTCAGACCACCGAGCCATCTCACCAGCCCCTGTAAATACCTTTGAATTAGGGGGGAGCTTGCCAGTATTGAATTATAAATACCTTCTTGCAAATATCACTTATAAATACCTTTGAATTTGCAAGTTTTGTTTTGCTGAATGGTTCCCTCCATTGGGCCGCAGATACTACACTGCTTTATTTATAGTAGCATGTGGTATGTAGTATGTCGGTATCCATCAGGGCAGCCCTCTCCTTGCCACCAATCTTTGACAGCATTTTTTAAAAAATAAAAAAAATATATACCTATTCCCAAACCTTTATATCCTTTCAGATGAATTTCAAAATTATTTTGGCAAGTTCTCAAAGAGAATTCCATTAGGATTTATAGAGTTCTATGAAATCCATGCATACTTTTTTTTTGGACATGGCTCCAGGATCTTGAACAGGGATCTGTGCTTCGCTGTTTAATCCATGGGGCCTTAGCTGAGGACAAGGCAACCCAGTGGTCCTGGGGATGTCAGGGGAGGGGAACAGCAGGCCTTGAGAGTAGAGAATGTGCTCATAGTGAGTGGGATGGAGAGTAAATCTCCAGTAGCAATGACAGCTGGGGCCCCTAGCAAACAGGACCTCTGGGAATGAGGAAGGGCTGATGCAGGAGATGCCTCTGACTGAAGGGCAGACTATCTGGCTATATGTAGTCACCACAGCTCCTGCTGACTGGCCAGCTGACTCCCACTTTCTGCCCAGTGCAGCCATAAGCCCAGCTAGGGGCTTCCAGTTGGGTCAGTTCAGGTCACCAGCTTGGCTACAGCTGCTTCCAAACCAGGGGAGAATTCAGATGTGTCGGTGGCAGAGCCCTTGCTATTGAACTATGGGCAGCTTGCCTAGACAGATATAGATGGGGATGGTGACACTGACCATAAACACCGGAAGTCCACATAGTAGGCAGTCGTCATGTGAGGAGGTCGGAACAAGATCTGCCAGGCAGGATGGAGCCCTGGGATGTCCTCTGTCATGCGCACGTGTTCCACAATTCCTTTAGGGCTTTCTCTGTCAGAACTAGATTGAAGTGGTACAGAATATAGACCCAAAGACAGATCCCAGGTCACTCAGCTCAGTTTCCTCATCTATCAAGTGAAGTCACCTGTAAGGGAATATGGCAGAGTAAGGCACAGCATCCCGCACACTAAGACAATATTTAGCCACTTTCAGTAGCAGTGGTGTTTTGAGGGGAGGCAAAGGTATACAGGAAAGTCAAGGCACTGGGTAAGGCAACATGTTTGGGATCACTTGAGGAAGGGGTTCTGAGGCACAAGTTTTAGTGCTGTGTAAAGGGAGAGAAAGTGGATTGACCAAGAGGGCTGGAAGAGCACAAGTGATGGTGGAAATGTGAGGGCCAGGAGCACACAGGACACCCTGAAACCACCTTGAACATCAGTCGCCCTTTTCCCCACCAGGGACAAGAGTCCAGTGAGTCCAGTGAAAGAAAGGAAGCAATCAGTGAGCTCAATTCTGTGGTGAGTGGGGGTGTTACTCCACCAGGGTCACGACTGTGGGGTTCTGCATCCTTCATCCCCCCGAACATCTCCCACATCTCCTGTCCAGGCCTCTAGCTTGCCGTGTAGTTTCTCAAACTCATCTCGTTTCTCATCTATTCCTCAGGGCTCTGAGGCCTCTCCTGGAGTCTTCAACTTTGACAATTTCTGGGAGGTGAGTTCTGTAAGATGGTTCTGTTCACTCGCCTTTGAAAAGCCGGCCCTGGCCCTCAGCCCTCCAGGCTGAAATCCTCTTTCTGTGCTGATAGGCAGAAGTAGCCCTGCCCCTCTTCTGACTTGAGGCCCTGGGCCAATTATATTATGCCCTGATATGGACATTCTTTGTGTTTTCTTTGCAGAATTTTAAATCCAAGATGAATTTCATTAACTGGAAAGCTTTAAACAAGGTACGTTCTGAAAAGCCTCACAATCCTGATCTTAATGGGGGAGGAATACAGGAAGGAAAGCTGGCAAGCCAGGGAACAATAATAGTGGCCACAAAGAAGGTATTTAGGCCAAGCAATAAATCCAAAACCAATGTACAAACTATGAGCTGAAAAGAATGGGGAATTTGGGGAACAACTGAAGGCTGGGGATGAGGTCAGGTCAACATACAGATCTGAGCTGGTGTGGAGTATCAGTTCCCTCTTTGAATGTAGAAAACGAAGTGGACTACCTGATTTAAGCAGCGATGGTGAACCTTCTAGAACTTTTTAAAAAAACATTTATTTATTTATTTTTAATTTTTATTTATTTATTTATTTGTGTGTGGCCAGCTCAGCCCACCAGGGGGCGGGGCTGGCTGGCATGTGGTGCTGGGGGATTGAACCGCGGTCCCTGTGCTTTGCTGAGCTTGTTCTAAGTAGGTGCTTTAGACCACTGAGCCGTCTCACCAGCCCCTAGAACTTTTAATGATTCCAACAGCCCACTGTGGCATGAGTGCCATAGGTTTCCCACCACTGTCCTGGGGGAGAGACCGAATGCAGGGCCAGGTGGAGCTCACAGGCCCCATGAGGACTGACCTGCCTGGGGAAGAAGGGAAAGAACCTGGACAACGGTTGGGAGGATGATGGGTGACAGGCATTACTCTGTGCCCTGTATCTGTGTGGTCTTAGGAGACAGCTGGTCAGAGAGCCCCTATCCCTTTCCGCCCTATCTGTGGCCAGCCCTGATTTGACACCAGAACAGCAGAGCTGACTGGGCTGAGCTGTCAGAGAGGGCCAAAGGCAAACTGACAATTCAAACCACTTCCCCAGGCGGAAGCTGTGAAATGTGCTCTGCTTCTGCTCTATTTGGGCCCTCTTTTTTTTTTTTTTTTTTTTAAAAGCCTGCCCCTGGCCCTCAGCCCTTCCAGGCTGAAATCTTCTTTCTGTGCTGACAGGCAGAAGTAGCCCTGCCCCTCTTTGGGTATAAAATGGCATGTGCTTATAATCTCAGCACTTTGGGGACTGAGGTGGGAGGGTTACAAATTTGAGTATAATCTGGGAAACACAACAAGACACCTGTCTCAAAATAATGTGCAAAGGCTTTAGGTTCAAATCCCAGTATTGGGCTGGGGAGATAGTTTGGTGGTCTAAGTGCCTGCCTGGCAAGCACAAGGACCTGGGTTCGGTCCCTAGTATTGCATGTTGTGCCAGCCCCAGCCCAGGCACACAGAGCCAGACACATCTTGCCTGCCACTGAAAGCAGGTGGGGTGGCACACACTTGTAATTACATTTCTAGGAGGCTGAAACAGTAGGATCATTATGAGTCTGAGCTAAATAGTGAGACCCTGTACCAAATATCTAAATAAAAAATAATTTAAAAAAAAACAATATGGAAGAGATAAAGGGGAGGTGGAAGGAACAGGGACAGGGATAGGGACAGGGAAGGGGAAGACATATAAATGTTCAGATTTGTGGTCTCTTAAAAATTTTGTCAACCCTGGATCCTCCCTTCACTGGCAGTGAATGACAGATGGGGGCTGAGTGTCCTTGTCCTCCACACTGTACTCACCCTGCCCATCAACCATTCCCGCCTCCATCCTGGTCTCTGTGAGGAGGTGAGGCTCTGCTCCTTCATGTAAGAGAACGGAGACAAGCATCCAGCCTTTGCTAATGCCACGGTCTCTGTGAGAGGAGGCAGCGGTGGCAGATGCGCAGGCAGCCTGACCCAAAGTTCAGGAAAAGCAAAGTCTAACCTCTGGGAAAGATGGGGTTGGGAGAGGTCCAAAGGCCCCAGCTGCGCTGACCTGGCAAAACAAATTCTCTTTTATTAGAAAACAGTTTGTAGGGGCTGGGGAGATGGCTCAGTGGAATAAGTGCTTCCCTGACAAGCACAAGGGTCTGAGTTCAATCCCCAGTTCTGCCAAAGAAAAAAACCAGTTTGTGACAGGGGCGAGGTTCCTTGCTGTAGACCCTGGGGCTCTTAGAGTCTGATGGAAAGGCCAGGGCCCACCTGAGCGCTTCCCAGAGAGCGAGACAGAATGCTAAGCATTTCTGCCCATCTTGTGGGAACAGGAAGGACGTGACTGTACTTGGTCTTCCTGGAGGGGCCGAAAGATGGGCAGTCCAGGTATGACGGAGACGCATCGATGTCTGCTGTCCTTTGCAGTTAGGGTGAGGGGAGCTGAGGATGTAAGCCAGAGAGGGGTGAGGAAAAGGGACACTAGGTCCCTCCTGATGTCCAGATGACCGCAGTGGGCTACAAGGTCCCTATAGATTTTTAAAGCAGGGGTCTATGCCCCAGGCCTTGGCCCGCCCCCAAATCCCTACTGCTCAAGCTTCTTCATAGAGCTTATTTCTTTGCCCAGGACCAGAGGAGCTTTCGCAACTCGTGACCTCCAGGCAAGGAGCTACCAGCTGGATGGGAAAGCCCACTCCCTCCCTAAAAAGCCACCCCCTCGCACCTAATCTTGTCCCTCACCCCTAAATTTGGTCTCATGCTCTTGAAATAAATCTCAGCTGATTCCCCCCCCATGCTGGTCTCTGCTCCTTTTATTTTTTCTATCTCTGATGTTGGCCCTAGGGGTTGGGAGGAGTGGTCACAGCCCCACAGCATGGGGTGATGTGCTACTGGTGGGAGGTCAATTGGCAGCTGAAAAGGTGGGAGGCTGGGGACACTTTGCTACAGTTCTGTTGGACCTGGGTGGGGCTGGGGCTGGGGCTGGGAGTGTGCTGGGAGGGCGGGCTGGTCAATGACTCTGAGATCTAGCCTCTCAGCCTTATTTCCAAAATAGCTTCTGGTGTCCTGGGAGACTCCTGGCTCCCCTCAGTCCCCAGCCCTCCACTTGAGTCACAATAAGATTCTGAAGACTGAGAAACTGCAGGATTGTGGACTTCGTTGAGCAGGGGTGGGCTCCTGGTTTACCAACCTGCTCACTGCTTTTCATCCACAGGGCCAACTCCTATCCCCTAACACCCGGGTCCTCCTCTACTTCCGAAGACTCTGGGAGGTAGGAGAACTGCTGCTTTGCCAAGAAATGGTGACCCTGGTTATCACACCCATCCAAGTGCCTCCCCTCAGGCAGCTGTCCCCAGCAGGAGCTGACATGTCACAAAATTGCCTTCTCATTTTTGAGGCGGGTCATGTCACACCAATCTTTTCATTTTATTTGTATGTTTGTGATGAATAATAATTACATTCATCTTGGGGCTACCTCAGTCTTATCACCAATGTCACCTCAAACCCAAACATCCCCACCCCTCATGCTTATCTTTATGGAACCCCCAAATCCCACTGCTCTCCCAAGCCCTTTCCCGAAATGGCCTGGAAACTCTCACCTAGCCCATAGCCCCTTCTCACCCTGAGTACCGGCTTCCTGCCACTCTTTTCTCCTCTCCCTCCAGGATTTCAAACGAAAAACTCCTTTCTTCAACTGGAAAGAAATTTCTGAGGTAAGGAAATGAGTGAGGTGCTGCGCTTTTCCCCTTGGTTGAGAAAACAGAACTGGGGACTTGGGTCAGTCCCGTAACAGGTGGCTTGCTGAGGCTGCTGTCCTGGTTTCTTGTCCTCATGCCCTCTCCACAATCCCGCTGCTTTGTACAACATGGAGTGGGAGTGGGCTGGACAGAGAAGCTGTGAGTCACTGAGGAGAGCACGGGTGGGAAAGCCTCCCTTCAGTAAAGGCCCAGGACTCCAGCCTTGGGCTCCACAGATGCAGAATCATGAAGCAGGTGACTATCTCTGCTCTGCTGCTGTCCCTACTAGGCCTGGCCTAGCTAGGGGGAACCCATAGCTGGGTGGGTACAGATGATAAACAGGGGGAGGGGGACTAGGAAGGGGTACAAAGAAAAGGACTTGGCCCTGGGATGAACTTTCAGGTGCCAGCAAAGGGGCACTGCAGAGGGAAGTTGAGGGAAGAGAGGGCAGGATGTTGGGGAAGGGGCGTCAGGCAAGTGGGGGTCTGGACAGCTGGCCCTTGGGAAGGATGAGCAGGACCTTGGGTCCTGTAGAAGAACTCTCCTCATTCTGCATGGTCACTGGCCTCTGGGAAGCAGAACCCTTCTGCACTGCCTGGGCCAGGCCTTTGGGTACCTGGACAAGTAGGGAATCAAGGCCTTCTCCTAGTGGTGTTGTGCACACATGTAGGAACTAGATGGGTATGTTTGTTTGATTTTTCAAGAAAAGCTAGAAATCTGATGTTTAATTGGCCGGCAACTAATATAATATTTTTTTAAAAGTCAGGCCAAACAAATCCTGTCTGAAGGTGGATGGACAAGCAGTTTATGACCTCAGGGTCAGGGATAAGAGTGGGGTGAAGACGCATTGTCAGGTGTGGACAAGGCCGAGCATTAAGTCTGACAGGACTTGACCTTGCAATGAAAGGGGAGGTATGAGTGGTGGGGTCTGAGTAGAAAAGGGATGACAGGGGAACTAAGACTCTCCCCCAAAGCTTAGAGCTGCCCCAGCCTTATGAGTAGGGGAGTGCTCTCCTTCCTCTGCCTCTCTGTATTTTTCTCCTTTCCTCCCCTCCTTTGACCAGGGGCTAATGCCTGTCCCTTCAAGGTCTCTAGAGAAACAGGACTATGTGCAGGGCTTGAAGGGCCTGCGAGGAGCAGCTTGGTCGGTTTGGTGTAGGCCAGCTCGGTTTGGTGTAGGCAAAGGCGGGCTGGGCTGAGGGGCTTGGGCTGCCCTAGAGCCGCCCGTGTGGCTTCTACCCATTTGTCATGCTATTGCACCTCTGCCCAGGGCTGACAGCACGAGAGGCGCGTGGGTGGAGCTGGTGTTGCCCAATGCGCTTCACCACTGCTCCCGCCTTGACTGTGGGAATCTGTGCCCTACATCTATCTGGGCCATCACCTGCTCTAGGCCACGGTGATACTATGGACCCTCAGAGTGGTGGGATGGGTGAGACGCTGGGGCTTTAAGTGGAGGGCAGAGCTCAGGCTGCAGGATGTGGGCATCCGGAAGCCTGCAAGGCCCGCAGGGCCAAGGAGATGCCAACTGGCCTCTCTCTCCCTCTTAGGATGTAGACATGCCATCGATGCAGAAGAGGGCAGATGTTGCTAATCAGGTGAGTCACTGCTCCTGGACTCGTCAGGAAGCCCTCGGTGGTCCCTCTCAGCCCTGGGTGTGGCCAATTCTCTTTTACTCACCATCCAAGAGTTCTCTCAGCCTGAGACAGGAAGGCAAGAGGTAGTGGGTGCAACTTCCGAGGCAAGCTCTGCAGCACAGATGCCTGATCTAGACTCCACCTCTCCCCTGGTCTCCCTAGACAGTTGGGGGAGGTGCCAGGGAGGGAGGAGTCAGGCCCTTTGGGCTTAGACAGTTAAAAGTGTGGAGGAGTGGGCTCCTGTGGCTGGGAAAACCTTCCAAATCTGATCTGGAAGAGGGGAAGGCAGGGACTTTAATGTCCAGTCAGGGCAGGGGGTGGGGTGTTCATTCCGGAGCCACATGCCTTTATCTTTTTTTCTCCCCCTCTCACTCTCCACAGAACTACTACAACCAGCAGGCGTATCCCACTATGCCCAGTGGGCAGAACTCACTGAAGAGCACCCCCAAGGTGAGGTTCATCATGCCTATTTTTCCTACTGGCCAGACCACCAGAAGAGAGACGGAGGGAGGGAGGGAGGTATTCACTGAAAGCCAGGCGACTGACTAACCTGCTTTGGAGGGAGACTTGGGCCCTATGAGCAGTCTGGAAAGGGGGCGGGGATCAAGGCTCCTCTAAGCACCCTCTCCGTGAGCAGCCCCAGAGCCATGGAGAAAAGCAGGAAGCAAGTGCCTCCCAGAGTGAAGCTAGGTCTGGCAAAGAACACCCCACCACCCAAGGGGCAGCTGGTCTTTTCTCAGCTGACCCTGTCTGGGGCAGGCGTGAGCTGAGGAGAGGAAAGCAGACTCGCCCTCTTGGAAAGCTCTCAGTTGGTGGGAAACCGGAATGCTTTTATACCTCAAAGGAAATAAAAGGCAACAATACACCAGACATTTGTTTCATACAGTTGCAAAGGAGGCAGTGTTATGACTGCGGCTGGGCAGGAAGTGAGGGTGTTGGTGCTACTGAGGCCAGCAGAGCACCGTAGACCAAGCATTTCGCTCTCAGAGCAAAGAAGGACTACTCAGGAAGGAAGAGAACTCGGTGCAGGGATGGGGAAGGAGTGGTGAGGTGAAGGATGTTAACACTGCCTGGAGTCCCTTGATTTCTTTTTACTCCCTGTGGTCCCTGTGTGCTCAGGGGCCATAGTAAATGCCATGTCCCTAGGGGGAAAAAATCCATAGACTGAACACTCACTGTGAGCCTGAAGGGCCTTGGTGATATCCTTGATTGTGTCTGTCCCCTTTCACTGGGGCCCTTTCTGAAACCCAAGGTCAAGTCAGGGCACAGCAAGGTCACCACAGCCATACATCAGCTCCTCTCATCTTTTCTCCACAGGGAGTAAACACTGCTTCATCCTCAGTGAGTACATACGGGGCCTGGGAAAACCTGGCTCAGAACAGAAGAGGCCTGAGGCCAGAGTGGGTGGAGGGGACAGTGGCATCCATTCAACCTTTCTCCTATCCTCCAGGCTTCCCGGGCACAACCTAGTGTGCTGCACTGGCTGAAGTTTTGGTAGGTGAGTGTCAGAGCGAGTGACCAGAGCCCACAGGCAGGAGCTGAGGCAGTTGCCTGGAGCAAAGGCGGGACCCTGGCATTTCCTCAGACCTGGGTCAGCAGCACCACAAAGTGATCTGTGGTTTCCTTTAGGTGGATGCTGGCTGTGGGGATGGAGGAGAGGATGTCCTTGTGGGATGTGGAGGAAGAGTCCCAAGAAAATGATCTGGGACATATGGAAATCAGCCTGAGTGCTGACCTGGCTTGGGAGGTGGGGAGTGGGTGGGCGGAATAAGCAGAGAGGGAGCCATGTGGGCCCGCAAGGTGGCGGGGTGCACTGTGGAAGAACTGTCCCTGGGAACTGTAGAGAGGAGAATCTTTGTGGATAAAGGATGAAGTGTGGCTCCAGAGGCAAAGCGGGTAGAGATTAACTTGGAGGAACCATAAAATTTGTTTTAGGTAGGGGCAAAAGTGAGGGGGAACTGAAGATGGGCCAGGCAGGAAGCAGACAAACAGCCAGAGCCTGCCAATCAGGTGAAAGGACATCCAGTTGCAACTGGTGTAGGAGAGGTTGCAGTCTGTCATTTAATCCTCTCATTTTTTTTTTTTTTTTTCCTAGAGAATTATTTTTGGTCACACTGAGACCTCACCGAACACCAGTCTTCAAAGAGCCCAACTTCACTTCGCCCAGCTTGTCCAGCTTTGCCACCCTCCTGGGTGCTGACACCACGTCTGCTGGGGGGGGGGGGAACCTGGCTCGCCTGCTCCTCCTCCTTCACACTGCACTGTGGTGTCTTGGTGACAGCGAGCTCAACGGAATAAGCAGCCACTTTCTTCACCTACTCTGTGTTGTGACCTGACATTTTTCCAGGAAAACAACAACAACAACAAAACCTTCATACTTTTGAGTTTCTCTGTGGAAATAAAACATGAATCCTGGTTCCCAAAGGCTTTTACAAATTGTATTAATACTATACTGATGGCCTAGGTCAGGGGGGACGGGAGGATGATTTAGGGGCAGATAGTTTGTATTCCCCCCGAGGATGGTATCAAGACATGTGGCAGGCAGAGAGAAGCAGGACCTAGATTTTAGCCCTGACCTGACAAGAAGCTGCTAGTCAACTTCACCCTGCCTTGGTTTCTCTACCTGTAAAAAAAAAATTATCTTTGCCCAATCTGTCTGAATACCACGCTTACTGCGTGTGACACAGTCATGGATGTCTTAGTGGCTGGAAAAGGCAGTAGTATAATTGTTCAAATCAGGAGGCTGGAGTAAAGAAGTTGCTCGAGGTGAGTCCAGGCCTGGGGGGCCTGGAGAGGATGGGATGTAGGAGTGAGGGCTACTACACAATACACCTGGGGGTGATACAGGGAAATGAGATTCCCAACCTGGCCTGAATGAGTTCGCGTTCTCTAAAACCGAAGAATGAATTTTAGGAACAAATGGAGGCTGAAGGTAAAACTTTATTGGAAAGGAAAGCTTCTGTCGGAGAGGGACAGAAGGGGGTCCCAAGCGGGCTGCCCAGGAAGCTGTCTCCTTCAGGTTATTTTTATAGGACAAAACCATGCGGGGCTAAGGTAGAGGCAAAGGGGTTCTGCTTAGGCAGATACAGGGTGGGACAAAACTATGGTCAACCAATGGGATTACAAGCACCATTGCCCAGGTAAAATTTATTAGGCCTAGGACTAAAAGGGGTAGCGAGTCACGTAGCAAGCGGGCGACCTTATCTGGTGGCCTTCAGTCAATGATTCTTCCTGGCTAATGAGTAATCCTGGATGCCAACTTTAGGGAGGTCAGCATTTGTTTGATCTTTAGGTCTGGCTCACAGCAGGAGCATCTCCCCAGTAAGGTGTCTGGTCTTCGTCATCTCCTTCGAGGGCCTGTCCGTGTCTAACTACCTACAATATTTCTATCTAACTCAGGCTGCCTGCAACAGGGGCAAAAATGTGCTTGTGCTATAAATAAATACCTGTGAAAAACAACTTAGAAGAAGAGGGTTTATTTTGCCTTCTGGCCTCAGAGGATCCTGTTCATGGTCACCTGGCCCTGTGGCTTCTAGGCCTGTGGTGGGTTATGACATCAAGGCTCGAAGTGTGTGGTGAAGCAGAGCAGCTCACCTCCTGCCCCCCCCCAGGAGACAAGATGCACCCTTCAAAAGCAATGAGGCCTCACCTCTGAATAGTCCATTCTACAGTGAGCACACCCATGAGGTCAGGGGCCCTCAGGCTCGAATCACCTCTTGAGGCTTCAACTCCGAACACGGCTGCACCGAGCGGCAAGTCCTCGACAGAACCATAACAGCATTCAAGGGTGGATGAAGGGGAGCAGCTGGGTCCATATGTCTGGGACAGATGCGTCAAAGCCATTGTCTTATATGCAGCTAATCTGAGTTTCCAGGATACAGGCAGGGAGACAGAAAACTACTTGGCTAATGGACCAGTGGAACACCAGAGGCCCTGGGCACATGCTGAGCTCAAGGTTGTCACAAGCTGAGGAACCCTCGGCCAGGGGAGGAGGGTCTGCAGGTAGTCCCTGAATCCCATCTAGCTGGCACACTGCCCTACTGTGCTCCCCTGGTATTCCTGCAAGGAAACAGGAAGTAAAAGGAGGACAGAGCACCTTGCCATCTAAGCGACTCCCTCTCCAAATGCAAGGTCCTAGAGGGCACAACCCTTGTCCTCCTTGGCTGTTGCCCCAAACCTGGTAGGCACAGGGGGCCTCCAATAGTTTAATAAAGAAACCCAGCCCCAACTGATCCAAGCTGGTAGGGAGCAAAAGTGGGGCCAGTCCTTGGCTCCTCCCTCCACCAACCCTGCCACTTCACTGGAATTGTGGCTACAGGGTGCCTGCCATTCGCCATCCTTTCCATTTGGTAGGGTGAGCCTCACAGTACCTCCTAGCAACCACAGGGAGGAGCACGCGAGCAGTCCCAGGGAGGACACTCCTTCCTCACTAGGAACAGGCAGTCTGGAGGCAGGCGAGCCAGGCGTGGGAAGTGGGACCTGAAGTTTCCTCCAACCAGTGTGGGAGGCTGAAGGGAGAAGCAGAGGTAGCCAAGGTGGCTCTGGACTCTTGGGGTGTTCTTGGATCAAAAGGCTGAAAGCAGTTCTTCCAAGTTTAAAGTAACAGTGGAAGCAGATTAAGGTTCTATGGCACAGGGAAGTCACCTTTTCTGGGGCGTTCTACAGTGGCCTCTTCAAGTCCAGCATTCGTTCTCCCATGACCCCCAGGAAAGTTTCCCCACACAGAACTTTCCGTAAGCTTTTCACTAGTCCTACAAAGAAATGCTGGCTGCTTGCCAAGGCTGAGTCCTTTGCCTCTGGCCTCCCTCTCCAGTCAGCAGGCACTTGGTAGGAAAGCCAGCCCCTCAAGGGGACAGAGAATATTGTTCCTTACCCAGCCCTGGATCAAGACCCTCAGAGGGCCATTACTTCTGCTGCTCTCATGTCTCAATTCTTTCTAAAATTTTAATTCTTAATTCTTTTTTCCCTCTTTTTCTTGCTCTACCCTTCCTCTCCTCATCCTTCCCTTTCTTCTCCCTCTTCTTCCTGGTCCTAGGGAGAGATCCCAGGGACTCTTTATTAGTGAATTCAATCCTTGAATTCTTTTTTTTATTTTTAATTTTAAGAAACCATTGGGCTAGGGAGATAGCTTGGCAGTCTATGCACCTGACTGACAAGTACAAGGACCCAGGTTCCATCCCCGGTACCACATGCCACGCTGGCCCTGCCACGGGCTGAGCCGGCCACTGACAGTGGGTGTGATGGCGCATGCCTGTAATCCCAAGGCTGGGGAGGCTGAGACAGAAGGATCACTGTGATTTCGAGCTGCATAGTGAGACCCTGTACCAAATAAATAAATACACAAATAAAAATTAAAAGAAGCCTTCTTGTTAACTTGTCCAGACTGACTCAGACCTTGTGATCCTCCTACCTCAACCCCCTAAATAGCTGGGATCACAGACGTTCACCACCAAGCCCAACTTGCTTATTTTCTTATTTCTTCTCAGTCATCAATTCAAATGTCCCTCCCCAGCCCGTCTTCATGAAGGATCACCCTGCTTTCTTCACAGCACCTGTCCTTGTCTGAAGTTATCTTAGATAATGTGGATATTGTAGATAGTTTCCTTATTATTTATTTATCCACCTTTATGATGGTCACAGATTGGGATCTGTTTCCTCCATTGTGACATCAGTGCCACAGAGCAAGCACTTGGTCTACCTTGTGTTCCCAGCACCAAGAACCCAAGTGGGTGCTCGGTAAATATAAATTAGCAGACCGGAGGAGG